ATATATATATATATTCTTTGTATCAACCCCTTTTCCTTTGCCAGATAACTTAAATTTATCCAGCTGGATATATCCCTGGTTCATGAAATAATTTTGTCACTATCTGCAGGAAGCAGACACGGATGAGATTCAGGGCTCTCTGACCTTTGATGAATTCTGCTCCTTCTATAAGATGATTTCCACCCGCAGAGACCTCTACCTGATTTTGATCTCCTACAGCAATCAGAAAGAAGTACTGGATCTCCAGGACCTTGCACGCTTTCTGGAAAATGAGCAAAAGGTACAAAAGAGTCAGATGACTCAAACTGAGCTGTTGCTTCAGACTAAATAAAAAATTATCTTAATGCATATTATTTGTGCATTATAAGCCTTCAAACCCTGTAAAAAAACATTATTTTAACTAATTTAAACAAACCAGGATGAAAATTGGCATTAAGTTGCATTTGTAGCAATAGGGGACAGTAAAAGTATTCAGGTACAGTATGTGATAAACATGTTAAGAAGATGTCAGCAGTCAGTTTTGTCTCATTGGTAGATGCGAAATCTGACCAGGGAGCATCTAATTGACATTGTTGCCAAGTTTGAGCCATGTCCTGAGAACCTTCAACGCATGGTGCTGGGTATTGATGGTATGTGACGTCTATATTGTGACAAGAGAAAATCAAAAGCATCCCATTGTTTGAATTAAACCTGCACATAAAACTGAGTCTTTTTTTTCTTTTTCCTTGAGGTTTCACCAACTACATGAGAAGTCCTGCTGGGGATATTTTCAACCCTGAGCACAACCAGGTCAACCAGGACATGACGCAGCCTCTCTGTAATTACTTTATTGCTACATCTCACAACACCTACCTGACTGGAGACCAGCTGCTTTCTCAGTCACGGGTGGAAATGTATGCTTATGTTCTGCAGGCAGGCTGTCGCTGTGTGGAGGGTAAGAACCTGTAAAAACTGAAGCAATGATGTTAGAGACGGGTTCACCCTTTAATTTATTTTTTATGGTTTTATTTCCTTTCTCAGTGGACTGCTGGGATGGACCAGACGGAGAACCCATCATCCATCATGGCTACACGTTGACGTCCAAAATTCTCTTCAAAGACGTTGTCGAAACAATCAACAAATACGCCTTCACAAAGTCACAGTGAGTGCTTTTGTGTCCTGACACTGACAAATGTTCCGTCAAGCTGATTAAGAGTCTCAGTGTGTCAAACTGGCTCATCTCCAGGTACCCAGTGATCTTGTCGATAGAGAACCACTGCACTGTGCCTCAGCAGAAAAAGATGGCCGAGTATCTGAAAGAGGTGCTGCAGGACAAGTTGGACCTGTCCAGTGTCGATGTGCACGAATGCAAGAAGCTGCCTTCGCCTGAGATCCTGAAAGGGAAGATTTTGGTCAAGGTGAGGCTGTTTCCCCCTCAATACTCCTGGTTCACCACTGTTCGGGATAAGGGCAGAGTAGTTACAAAAATACAAAGAAAACAGCCGCAACAATCACAAAGCAAATGTGTTTGACAACAGATTCTTGGGTTTTCAGGGAAAGAAACTGCCTGCAAACCTTGATCCTGATGCAGAGGAGGGTGATGTGTCTGATGAAGACACTGGAGATGAGGAGGAAGAGGAGGACATTGAAGACAACAACCAACAGGCATTTTTCTTACAATGATGGATGGATGGATGGATGGATGGATGGATGGATGGATGGATGGATGGATGGATGGATGGATGGATGGATGGATGGATGGATGAAAAATACATTGTGACTATTTCAGGAAGGGGATAATGTCGTGCCATTGCCTGCGCCCAAAAAGAAAAGACGATTCGGCAGATCAATTATGAGGAGTTTCAAAAGAAAGGTCAGTCATTTTTTTTATTTCTCAGATATTTATTATTATTACATTTGATAAAAAATGAAAATCAAGCAAATTTTATACACAAGTTTGCACTTTTCTTTTTTAGAGGAAAAGGAGAACACGGATGAAGAACAAGGCCCTGTCTGATGGTGACTCTGACTACAGTGGCAGCCGGGAGAGGACTCAAATTGTTTACCACCCCAAGTAAAGCTGGTTATTGAAATGAGCAGCTTATTCAGCTAAATTAATATCTGAAGTTACATTTCTACAACTCTTCCTCTAGAAAAAGGAAAACAATGAGACTGTCTAGAGCACTGTCTGACCTGGTCAAGTACACAAAGTCTGTTCGTATACATGAGATAGAAACACAAGGTAAAGTCAAATCTCATTAGCGTAGTAGCGTTCAGCTAAGGTCTTGGATTCAGTCGTGGTCTCTGTCTTGCAGGCTTTGCGAGCAGCTGGCAGGTGTCATCTCTAAATGAGACCGTAATGAACCAGATTTTACAGCTGAAACCGAGTGAGTTGGTGCGTTTGAACCAGCGCCAGCTTCTGAGAGTCTATCCGTCAAACTTCAGAGTGGATTCTAGCAACTTCAACCCACAGATGTACTGGAATGCAGGATGCCATATGGGTAGCAGACTTTCACATATACGCTTAAAAGACACCCAGTATCACCATCAGCGTTTCAGTGTGTCATTTGCATAAATGTTGCTGTTTTGTTTTAGTTGCAATGAATTACCAAACAGAAGGTCCTATGCTTGAATTGTACCGGGCCAAGTTCTCAAGCAATGGAAACTGTGGCTACATTCTGAGGCCTAAGTTCATATGTAAAGGTGCGCAGACTGCAGAAATAAATGGTTAAGTCTCCTAACAGGAAATGAATAGTAAAAAATGGTGCTTTTCAGGTGCCTTTAACCCATTGCAGGAGGATCCTCTACCAGGACACAAAAAAACTCAGCTGATTCTGAAGATTATTAGTGGGCAGCAGCTTCCCAAACCCAAAGACTCCATGTTTGGAGACAGAGGAGAGGTAAATTACAACAAATGTAAAATTTGAGCTTTAAAAGAAAGTTTTTTCCTCTAAATTTGTGTTATTGTGCTTTTAGATAATTGATCCSTTTGTTGAAGTTGAGATTGTTGGCCTGCCTGTTGATTGTTCCAAGCAGCAGACCMGAGTAGTGGATGACAATGGTGCGTACAGGATCCACATCTGGGATGTTTCAAATTGTGTCACAGCATGGGTTTGTCAAGAGTTTTTCTTTGTTTATTTTTACCTTTATACTATCTAGGTTTTAACCCAATGTGGGAGGAGACCCTTGTCTTCAACATTCAAATGCCACAAATAGCCCTTGTGAGATTCCAAGTGTGGGATCACGATCCGATTGGACGAGATTTTATTGGACAGAGGACTGTGGCTTTCAACAGCATGATGCCAGGCAGGTTTAATGAAAACTGGACTCAAGTATCTGTTCACTCTGCAGATTGCAAGTCTACCTTCTAATCAGGTGCTAAAAAATGGTAGTGCCTGTTTGAAAAGAACAGATACAAATAAATCAGTTGTTTGATTCTCTTTTTCAGGTTATCGACACGTCTACTTGGATGGAATGACAGAAGCATCCATCTTTGTTCACGTTGCTATTAATGATCTGCCAGGAAAGGTACAGTATTTTAAACACACTATTTGTTGAAAATATTTAGTTCTTTATAATATTTTATTTTGTAAAATAGATGAAACCTGCTAATGCCGTGCAAGCAGCCAGAAAACACATCCAAAAAGCAGCTCAGAAGCATATGAAGGGCCACCAAAGACGTCCATCACTAGAAGTCTCTGTCCAGTCCTCAGAGGATGGACGTTCTCTGTTCTTCCACAAGGATGTGGACAGCATGTCACAGGACAGTAAGAATGGGGAAATGTCTTTGGTGGCACAAGGGCCAGCAGCCAGAGCTGCTGTCCACAGAGGAGCCATGAGCGAGCCAGTGAGACGAGCTCACAGGGTTAAGATTCATGAACCGCCAGAGACGAGGAGAGGCCTCTTCAGCCGGATGTCCTCCACTGACTCGAACCACGGCGGGGCGGCTCCCTGCATGAAAGAGGAAAACTTTGACCCCGACACCCCTTCCCAGCTCCCTCATWCTGAGAATCCTGCTCCCGACAGCCAGAATCAAATGGATCAAAAGGTTTTGGGAAATGAACCATCACAGTTGAACTGTACTGAGCTGCAGATGGGAAAAGGGTTCAAACCACAACAGATACCAGAGGAAGCAGAAGCAGAGCCAGATGAGGAGGTTTTTAGTGAACTTGAACAGCCTGAAGCTCAGAGCCAGACCGATTCTGTCCTCCAGTCTCAGCTGGTGCCACCGTCTGAAGCCAAACTTGTAATGCTTATTCCCCCACCGACCCCTGCCAGGGTCAGGCGGGCCTTAGAGGCCCCTCCACACACCACTCACTTCCTACCACAATTTGAAGCCAAACCCTCAACACTCATCCCCCCATCATCACCTGCCAGAGTCAGACGGACTTTAGAAGCCCCTCCTCACGTCTTACCGTCCACCCCGATACGGACCAAAGCCCGCTCGTGCAGTTGCCCCAGAAAGCAGATCACGTCGCCACAGACACCAGCGGTGAATCGCAAACCTGCCTTCCACTGGCAGACACAGCGAGAACAGAACTGCAGCACCAGAGTGAGACGCATCCCCAACGGCCTCTGCCTGTCTGACAGCACATCCAGCTCTGGCGACGGCAGCACCGACAGCCTGGAGTTTGTTCCTGCCTGCACGCCGGCCGGGCCAGAGCAACGAGAGGGCACCCTGCAGAGGGAGATGAAGGCCCTGTTTGACCAGAAGATGAGAGACATCCGCTGTAAATCACCACTTTTTCTAGACGGTGAGTGCCATTTGCAAGAAAATCTGTAAATGTGTTTTAAAAAGGTGCAGTTGAAAACAGTTTCGTTAACAGCTTTTTGTACTTTTTTTTAGACTTCAGCTTTGATTCGTAATACCAAGGCCCTTCAGAAGAGGAAGGAAATTAAAACACATTCAAAGGAAGAGGCGGGGGATAAAGAAGGGAGTAAATCAGAAACAGTTTATTTATTGTTTAGCACAGCTGGAATGTTTACAGTCAATATTTGAAACTCATAAAATGATTTGATGCTGCTGCCAACTGTACAAAGAGCTTTAGGGAAAATTAACATTTTAGTAGATGACTAAAAATATGAGATTTTTTGTCTTTTTTTTCAGATATGAAATGTACACTTGGATTAAAAATCATTTTTAACAAAAAAAAACAGCATTTTTCAGTATTCTTTTAGTAAAACATAATAAAATGAGTATTTTAATAAAATGTGAGGTTTCTTTTGAATAAGAGGTCAGTTACAAAGTTCAATTATTCTTTTCAATGAAGCTTAAAAACAAAAAAATTTCCTCAATTAGTTAAAGTTTTAAAAGACTTTATGCTTTTTCTTTGTCTGCATTTTCTTGGGTTTTGTTTACTTTGCCATTTCCCAAGCGCAGACTCAGCTCCTGGGTCAGAACAGCGCAGCAAGATTTCTGTAGAAAGTTCAACACAAACAGGAGTATGATTTGTTAATATATTTTGTAAAACCTGAGGCAAAAAAAAACACTAATTGTTATGGTTCTTTAATGGATAAAGAAATTCTATGCAAAGGTTCTATGCGTCTAAGGTAATGCATCGTTGCACATACCTGCTGCTCCGCTGCTCTTTTGCGACTCTGAAAGGTGAGCTCGAGAACAGCCAGGAGCGTCCCCAGTCCAAGGCCCAGAGACAGAACCAGGAACATCCCCTTCAGGTTGTGTGACTGCAGAGCTGAAGGTTTGGCCTTATCTGCGATGCAGCTGCTGGCCCACCATTTGCTTCGCAGATAAGCCAGCTCACCCGCCTCACTCAGCTGAAGGACTGCAACACTGAGGTTCTTTATTATCGGAGAACCTTGATGAAAGATGGCATTTTAAGACTAGAATTCACCAATTTAACCATTGTCRTATTCAATTGCTGAGACTTGAAGATGAGTAGGCTCACCGAGGGCGGCAGCAATGCTGTATCCTCTCATACCAACGACTTCATGTGCTCTCACCAGTTCACAGTGACGGGCCACCGCCAGGTCCAAAGAAACAGACTCCCCAATAAAGGCATAGTTTCCTTCTTTGACACGTCTGACACCCTCATCCATAGTCGACACAAAACTCTTTGTTCTCTCCATGTGCTCGTAGATTCTGCGGTACACTGGGTTGTTCGAATTCTGGAAGAAGGTAAAACAATCGATTTCTAGAGAGCCCTCACAAAAACAGATCCTTCTTTAAGCTGTACTTGCCTTGAAAAAAGCTAGGGTGGAAGAGCCGGCCAGGCAGCCGTACTCAATCGTGTTTTGATTGGCCAAGTCCTCAAACCCTTTCACCGTCAAGCGGCTGGACTCTGGGGTGTTAGACGAGCTTAGGTTGGAGAAATAACAAGCCAAGAGGACGACAGAGAACAACCACCAGCTGCTGCAAACAACACGTCCAGATAGAGCTTTGGGTTGATGACCAGCACCTGAAACACAAAGACAGTGCATCAATATGGTAGAAAAACAGTTGCTTGTTATACCTTTCATGCTTACCACATTGGTTTACAATTCATAACAAATAACTGCAAGTTACTACTGTTAACCCACAGTAAAACCATGTCCATCTTTGCTGTTTACCTTGTAGAGTTAGAGCTCCAGCCGTGTACCACAGGCTGTAGAGGAAACCAAATCTGTTTTTCTCACTCTGAGCCTGACTCCACTCACMCGGGCTGAGTCTGCATTTTACAAGAGAAATATTAAACTCACATGGAATCCAACCACCAAAGCACAAAGTTCAACTAATTACAGACAGGAATTCACATCATTGTGAATAAATCCTATAGTTGTTCATTTGAAGATGACTAAAAGCTCCTCTTTTCACCAACCTGGCTGTTATAAAGATGCAGGCAGCAGTGCCCACGTAGGCGACGAGTACGCCAATCCATGTCTCCAGAGAAAATGGAGTCAGAAAGTCAAAGAAGCCTGCTTCCTCTGAGATGTCTTTCCTCAGCAGGATGCTGATCCCTGTCTGCATGAAGGGTTTGGTCATGCCCACAGCTTTCTCCCGAGCCGCGGTGAGAGTCAGCGGAGCGATCGCAAGGTCTGCCTCCTGCATGTATAAACCATTGATAAATTCAGCTTGTGTCAGCAAATGTCAAAAAAGGTTTTACATTTGTTGTGCTTATCTGCCATGTGGGTTCCCCAGCCTTGGGCCCCTTCAAAATTCTTTTTTTTGTACTCACCCTTCTCACCACCTCTCCAATCATCCCATTCCAGTTCCCGTTCTCATCTTGCCTGCCATATGAACTGTCCTTCACCAGCTGCACTTTGTACTTGAAGCCGAGCTTTTTGGCTACTTCAGAGAGCAAGTCCATGCAAAAGCCTTCCAGCTGAGTGCCTTTGACCATTGTATATGGCTCTTGCTTTTAAAAAAGTGCAAAACAATATTCAGTCTAATGTGCTTCTTCTTAAAGGATATTTTTACAGTGACTGAAACCTGCTGTATGAGTAGAAGGAATAGATCAAATACCTTTATTGTTGTGATTCTCAGCTCTGTTTGCACTAATGTTGATGGGAAGAAATAGGGTGGAGGGGTGGGGGACAGTTGCAGTTTAATACATTTCCAAATTTTAGACAAAAACATCACTTTTTATCTGGGTTTTGTGACACGATTGGGAGATTAGTCCTCAATTTTGGTAAACATTAAACTCCATTACATTAGTCTTCTTGTGGCTCTCAAAGCAAGAATTTTATGCATGTGGTGGCCTAGGTTTTATTAAAAATGCATTAAAGAATTTTCCAAAGCTCTACAGTGTGCAATTACCTTTTACAAATGCCATTTACAACTGTACTGCACCAAAAATGGCCAGAGAGAATATAGACTTCATAAAGCTCAGAGACATTTGGAATGAACCATCACACAGAGGAATCATGTTCTGTGATCAAAACAAGTCAGGATTTCAGTTGTTTTTTTAAATAAAGTAACATTGTGTGGTGTGAACCAAAGTCAGCTGGACTATCTATATTGTCATTAGAAAATAGTCTAAAAGTCAGACTCCAGGATGACAGATTTAACACAAAAAATTACAAATAACTTTCACATATGCTGCCTTAAAGACGACAGCTTGACTGTAATGACGCTGTAGTGCGTTTCTACCATTCTGTACTCATTAAAAAAGACCTGACTATATTTTGTAAAAGTAGCCGACCTGATAAATTAATATATATTCACTGATAAATGTCCTCACTAAATTTCATATAATCAGAGTCCCTGTGCGCCCAAACCAACTGCAACATTTGTGCTAAAATTTTGGATGCATGTATGGAATTTCTGGTCATGTTAAGAGGGGTTCCGGTGTCCTAGAGATCTGGTCACTTTCTTTCCTTTGAAAAGCACACTGCACAATCTATTTAAAGCAGCACATTAGTTTAAAAAAGTCTCAGTGGCATAGCAGTGTTCGATGGAAGGCCAGACAAAGAGAATCAAAAGCCTCGATTCAGGCCAAAGCCTCGGGGATCCATCACCACAGGGGGATCCTGACAACCATCAGATCCTCCTTGTTTTTAAAAAAGATGACACGTATGTGGAGCTTGTCAAGCCCCCATAACTTTTTTGGCCTCAATCAAACACAGGGTCTTTGTTCGCATCAAAGACTTGATTTAAAATCAGTTTTGTGAGATGGTTATTTGGCTTGCTTCCCTGTCAGTTTTTTTTTCCATGAGTTGGACAGCATGTGGTGCTACACTTTGATATTCATTGGAGCTGGCATGGAGCATATTTAAGTTTCAGAAATTTGAACCAAATTCTGCAAAGAAAACATGAGGGATTTGGCCAAGGAAATGAAAATGAACACCAAATGAAAAATGCATTTACTGGATCAAGTATCAGCAAAATAAACGATGATTTGTAATGTTAATAACATTTTTCTCTACATCAATGCACACTCACACAAATATATGTACAAGCATGTTTCTGCTCTCATACAAACTTAAGACAAAAAAAAATCTTACCTGCCATGCACACTCCTATGTCCAGGAAAAACACAGAAGGCAGAAGAAAAAAGCCAAACAGCATCCTGACACAAATAATTTCCAACCTATAAATGAAAAAATCAATAAGACTTATGGGTTTATGGTGCATCTGAAGTTAACATTACCTATAAAACGTGCACAAACATAAACAAATCCATAACAATAATCAGTTTATAAATATGTAGAAAGTGAATAATGAAAATCACAACTACCTAGGAAGAATCCAGAATATGAGTGAAGCTCATGCAAACGAAGACGGTGAGCTAGACTGAAGTTTTTCAAATAAAGAATCAGAGAGCCAATGAACTCTTTGGGGGTGGAGGAAAAAATGTGCAATTATGGTGAAAGGGAGGAGAGAAACAGCATGATGTAGGTCTACAGAAGATTGTACTGAGAAAAAGTATAGATTTTTAAAAGACAAATGTCTGTATTTATTGTACAAGTGTATAAAAAACATAATCAAATGGAGCCAAATCAAATAATACCATTATCCTAAAATTATGATTGATATGATTGGACTTTGTTTTTAACTCATTTTGTGTTTTTATATCTGATCTAATATGCTCCAGTGGACATGAGTGCTCCGAGTACAATATCAAATGTGACTATGTAATAAAAAATAACGAATTATTATCAAATAAATATGTTAAGTTTGTAAAAYGCATGCATTTTATTGGTTGTATTTTATAATAAACTTGGTTTTATCATTAGAGGGAAAACGACAGGAGGGAGAAAAATACAAGATGGACCATTTCTCTTTTTGGGGGTTTAAAAATCCAAGAAAATGTAGCATAAACAACTTTGGGAAAAGTTAAGCATTTGTTCTAAGTAATATTAGGTGTATTTTAATGTAACGTGCACAATCTAGCGTAAAAGATTTATTTTAAAAACTRTGTGTGTTTGTATGGTGGAGATAAGGGCAGAGTAATCGTCCTGTTGTTTTTCTCACCGCCTCTCTCCGTGCTGACCTCCAGCACGAGCCCCGGTGAGTTCGCTTCGCCTCGCGGACCAACCTCAGTCCGGTGCGCGTCGCGTGCGAGGTATGGCATCGACCTGCAATTGGCTGAGGTGATTTTTTTTCTCCGAAGGGGCGTATTTTTCAAGCCATCTTGACTGAATATTTAGCCTCATCCAAGGTACATTAATTTGATATATTCGGGATTTTTGCGGCCCCCGAGTTGCCCGCCGCCATCGTTTGAAAGGCTGAAGCTGTACCAATGTAACCGGGTCGAGTCTGCGTGTTCGACCGAAGCCCCGGCAAAGAAGCGGGGCGCTGAAAAAATGTCGCTCCCTGAAATTACCGGCCAGCTAAGCTAACGGCTAACATGTCCGCCTTTGGTCGGAGCCTGCCACTAGCTGACATTTAACCAGCCAGGTGCAATTTTTGCGTTTGGCACTCGCACTGCGGAGGACGTTTTATCGAGGTAAACGACTAGTGTTTTCACGGTTATCAGTGCTGCTTTAGAAACACATCCGGTGTTAATATTTGTGTGTCCTGTCCGAATGAGGAACGTTATCGCATGAGAGACAGCTTTTTTTTGCAGGGGTCTGAAGCACAAAGAGAGCCATAACGTCGCGCCGTCGCGCTCTATCGTCTACATGCCGTTAATGAATGCATTAAGCACGGTGCACAGAGAGCAGTCGCTCTCTGGTGTTGACTGGATGTGTAATTGGGCTGCTAATCGTCTTGCAACACAAGTGCTGTCTCCGCTGTTGTGCGCCTAAAATGGCTGACAGATGTTAGATACTTGGGCTGGTATTTAGCACTTTACTACCTAACATGCTTTGCAACAGGGTGGGAAATACGCGATGCTGGGTTGCGATTGGTCCATTTGTGTTACAGACACGTGTCTGAACCAATGGGCGAACAGCTGAGATGAACGCATGCAAGCAGTGCAAGTTACTGTATTTGTGTTTGTGCAGCAAGCCTGGTTGAGGCAACAAGCCATGTTATTAGAGTTTACTCTATTTTACACGTTAATTATATGTCTATGAGTAAAAGACATTATAGCCACGTGTTAGAATTTAAACCAAGCACTAAAGTCAGAAAAGTTAGAATAAAATGATGATTATGGCTAAGTAAAATCAATATTTTTTTGTTTGTTTACACTGTTTTGACCTGTTTATTTTTGCTCTGTCAATGTTTTGAATAAAAACAGTCTAACACTTGTACGACGGGCATTAAAAGGCTGTATAAATGCAACATTTTTAGCAACAAGATTATGTATCTTCCACTCACTTTACATCATTTGTTTTCAGCAACTACAGTAAATGTAAACAATTTACAGAACAGAAAAACACTTGCCATTATAATCATTTTATTCATATTTTTTTTTCTTGTTAGAGACTGGAGTAAAATCCCATGCGGACGGTGCAGAAGTGGGAATGCAAGACATTTGTTAGAGGACTCAAGATGGGAAGGGGTCGAGGAAGAGGGAGAGGAAGAGGCAGGGGATCTTCTGGTCAGCTGCGGCCCCCCTCGCCGTACAGACTGCAGCTCTCCCCATCCAGGGAGACCTTGACATATGCTCAGGCCCAGAAAATTGTGGAAGTGGACCTCGACGGAAGGCTCCATCGAATTAACATCACAGATCTTCTGCCGGTTATTACAGAGGATGAAATGATGGCCCAGGACATCGCAGAGTGCAACAGCAACAAGGAAAACAGCGAGCAAACGCAGAGTAAAAGCAAGTCATGGAGGAAACCCTCAAACAATAAAAGCAGAAGGAGCAATAAAAACGTGTCTCAACAGAATCAGAGGTCTAGCTCTCAGCAGCATACTGGATCCACTTATTCCTTCCAGCACCCTTCCCAAACCCCTCTGCCTGAGCCCACCTTTCGTGTGCTGGGTTCAGCATCTCCTTCTGAAGCTCCTCCTCTCCCAGTAGCATACTACCGTTACATAGAACAGTCTGGGGAGGAGCAGGACAGTGTGGCCGAGTACGACATGGACGAGGAGGACTTGGCTTGGCTGGAGATGGTGAACCAAAAGAGAGTGTCTGATGGCCACGCGTCTGTCTCTGCAGACACTTTTGAGCTTCTGATCGATCGCCTGGAAAGGGAGTCGATCCTCGAATCCCGCAGCCAGGCTCTGTCTCAGAATGCTGTTGACGAGGACGCCTTCTGCTGTGTCTGCTTGGATGACGAATGTCTGAACAGCAACGTCATCCTGTTCTGTGACATCTGCAACCTGGCCGTCCACCAGGAGTGCTATGGTGTGCCCTATGTACCTGAAGGCCAGTGGCTGTGCCGCTGCTGCCTCCAGTCGCCGTCCCGCCCCGTAGACTGTGTGCTCTGTCCAAACCGAGGAGGTGCCTTCAAGCAGACAAGTGATGGACGATGGGCTCATGTAGTGTGTGCCATATGGATCCCAGAGGTTTGCTTTGCTAACACGGTGTTCTTAGAGCCCATCGAGGGAGTTAAGAACATCCCTCCTGCTCGCTGGAAGCTCACATGCTATTTGTGTAAGCAGAAAGGCAGGGGAGCATCCATTCAGTGCCACAAAGCCAACTGTTACAGGGCTTTTCACGTCACCTGCGCCCAGAAGGCTGGTCTGTACATGAAAATAGATCCGGTCCGAGAGACCGGCGTTAACGGCACCACCTTCTCTGTGAAGAAGACTGCTTTCTGTGAGCACCACTCCCCTGTTGGCTCTCGGCGGGACGGGTCTGGAGATGAGTCGGTGGAAGGAAGGATGGTAGGGGGAAGGGGTAACCGAGGTCAGAGGTCATATACGCAAAGCTCACCGTCACCCACCAACAAGAAGGCAACCAAAGGTCAGAAAAAGAAGAATTCCAAAGGGTCTGGTTCACGTCGCTCCAATATTCCAGTGCTGCTTGTGCCTCAGATCCCTTCCCACAGGTATGACGTGCACGCCTGTTGTTCATTGTTACAAAAGTAATCTTTCATCTTATTTTAGTAGTTTGGATTATTTTTGAAGGCATTTAGATTTGTTTTTGTTTTGTCTTTTTCATCAATTCAAACCTTACTGTACAATCACTGCTGTTATTTCTTTACAATTGTACATTTATAATTGCTACATTGTTCATTATAGGCTGAACAAGATCTGCACAGGAGTTGAAGTACAGAGAAAAAATCAATTCATGCAGAGACTTCATAATTATTGGTTACTGAAACGTCAGTCACGAAATGGCATGCCTTTAATACGCCGGCTTCATTCCCATCTACAAGCTCACAAGACTGCAGAGCAGGTGAGCGTAACTGTTTACAATTCATCACACAACAGTTGTTAGGCTGTCTTGACAACGAACTGCTGGTTTTGCCATCACAGTCTGATTTTTATTTTTTGGTGGGGGTTTGTTTGATGTTCAAGCGAGAGCCTGATGAAAAACTGAGTGCAGCAAGAGAAGAACTGCGATACTGGCAAAAGTTGAGGCAAGACCTGGAAAGAGCGCGACTTTTGGTGGAGCTCATTCGCAAGAGAGAGAGGTTAAAGAGAGAACAGGTAAAAAGAAGTATATTTCTGGAACATTTTTTAAATATTTCCACTATAATTGATCAGAAACAGTAGGATCAGAACTAAAAAAAAATAGTGACATTCCAAAATATTTAACTGAGCAATTAATAAATGTAATGAAATAATCGAGGCAGCTTTAATCTGTCCTACTCTGCAGAATTTTACACCGATTTAAACCCTGTAGAGTGACCTCATGTTTCCCTCTGCTCTGTGCTTTGTTTACATTCTCATTGTCAGATGAAAATCCAGCAAGCTGCCCTTGAGTTAACGTTGACTCCTGCTCTGGTGCTTTTGCAATCCACCTTAGACCAGCTGCAAGAGAAAGACACAGCCAAAATCTTCTCTCAGCCTGTCAATCTTTCAGAGGTTGGTGAACGTAAACTYCAGTTTTGTTTTACTTCATACAGTTACCTGAGGTTAACTATGACCTAGCTAATGCTCTTATTTTCTATGATTTACAAAGGTCCCAGATTATCTGGAGTTTATATCCCAACCCATGGATTTCTCTACCATGCGTACCAAACTAGAGAGACATGCCTATTGCTCAATTGGAGACCTCGAGAAGGACTTTGATCTCATGATCTCTAACTGCTTGAAATACAACTCCAAGGACACCTTGTTCCACAAAACAGCTTTACAGCTGCAGGAAGTGGGGGGAGCCATCCTCCGTCATGCCCACAGGCAGTCCCAGACCGTTGGCCTTGACCCCAACACTGGCATGCATCTGCCGGAAGCACCGAACAAACACGGCTTCTACCATTGCACATGGGAAGATGGTGAGTGAGAACTAGATGTGTTTTCCTGAACATACAGCCGAACACGACTGTGCTCCGTTTTAACGTTTCTCCCCTGTCTCTCCACAGTGGATTCACTCCTGGATCCAGAAAACAGACTGCACCTTACCACAGAGGAGCAGCTCAAAGCTTTACTGGATAAACTGGATATAGTCGCGTCGATGCACACCAGTGGTGGTCGCACCAAACGCATTAGGCTGCTGCGCCGAGAAATCAACACTCTGAGACAGAAGATGAACCAGGAGCAGCAAAGTGCTCGGGCTGTAAACGGAAACAACAGGGATGAAGAGGAAAATGGGGAGGAGGAGGAGGAGGAGGAGATGGAGGAGGAACAGCCAAAGAGGGGGAGGAAAAAAAAGGAGCTTGCAGAAAATGGCCCTTTAACTGCAGTGACAAACTCCGCAACGGGTACAATACATTTTATTCCTAAATCAAGTATTTGTAAAAATCTGCCTTAATGAGTGCACAATTTTTGTGTGGTCAGGGGTCTTTTAACGAGAAACAAACAAAACCCTGGAGATAGGAAATTTTAAGTCACAAGCTGTGTAACTCATTAGTAGTTTTAGCCGTTTTTACAATTTTAACATAAATTTCTCTATGATCCAGATGACTCTCCACCTGTCCTAGAGCTTACCTGTCCAGTATCATCACCCCTACCAGGAGACGCCCCTCTGGAGCCTCCTGTCCTGGGCATTGTGACAGGAGGACGGAGGTCACCTGGGCGTTCCTACAAGCGCCAGAGGTCCTCGCGCAGTGGAAGCAAAAGCCAAGGTGAAGACGAGGCAGAGGTGGGAGAAACGCCTTCGTCTCAACCTGAGGCCATTCACGAGGTCACGCCCCTCGGCACACCTCCAACCCTGACCATGGCTGGAGTGGGCCGTCGCACATCTGTTCTGTTTAAGAAAGCTAAAAATGGGGCACGGATGGTAAAGAACAAGTCCACTCCATGGCAGAATGGGAAACCCACTGAAGAGAAAACCAATGGGCTGGATAGAACTCCTATTAGCCCGGACTCAACCAGTGCGAACACAACCACCTTACCTCCTACTCCCAACACCTCCCCTACCCCTCCCTCTCCTTCGTCGCACCACTTGAGGTCCAGAGGCCCCAGTTCAGAGAATGAAGCTGACAAGCCTCCTGCACACCCCATAGAGGAAGGTATGGCATGAAGGGTTAACGTATTAAAAGCATCAGTTTCTTCAAAGTTCAATTTGGTTACTATTTCTTTGTGTTTGCTAGGTCTGACAAATGGGAAGCACACTTCTGCAGACCTGGAAGAAGATGATGATGACGACGATGATGAGGATGACTCAAACCTAACGTGAGTATAAGGTCACAGACATGTACCTTCAGTASAAACAGCCTTTTATGTTAAAATTAGGAACATCTCAAATCAAACAACCCCCTCGATCATTTGTTGATGTTAAGYCACAAATAAACTCTTTTCGTAGTTATATTTTGTTATTGCCAAGGTTCTTTAGTGTCTGATTTAACTTATTAAAAATTACCATCTTCTGTTGCTTCGTTCTCCTTTCAACTCCAGCGCTTCCTCTCCCAAACGTAGCCGGGGTAAACCAGCAATGGCAAAAGTTCCAAGCAAAGAAAATGGAGACATTTCTGCATCTGGTGTGTATTCTCAAAGTAAAACAAATATCGATATGTTTGTTTTGTTTTATTCACTTGTATGTATAATGTAATAATCTGCATAGGTTTCTTAAAGAAATAAAAATGGAGTAAAGTCACAGTTTGGGCTCAAGTTCTTTTAGGAGCAGACATTAATGGAATGTATTGAAATATCCTGTTCACAGGAAAGTCTACACTTCTGTCTTTAGATAGTAAAACTGAACTTTCAGCACTGGACCTAGTTTGGGCAAAATGTAGAGGATATCCTTCCTACCCAGCAATGGTGAGAATGTGTTTGATCCCACAGTCTATGCTACATTATTAAAGTTAAGGGAATATTCACTGAATTAAATTGTTACAGATTGTTGATCCAAACATGCCTCAGGAAGGACTCCTTCACAATGGCATCCCCATCCCAGTGCCTCCTGTGGAGGTGCTCAAACTGGGCGAATGGAGAAAAACAGAAGAGGATGAAAAGCTCTTCTTAGTGCTCTTCTTTGATACCAAAAGAACTTGGTATGGGTTTTTTTTTATAAGACATCCATCAAATTAAATCCAACAATTCACCTTAGTCAATTTGAAAATTATTTGTTTTGTGTTTCAGGCAGTGGCTCCCTCGAAACAAACTACTGCCGATGGGGATAGACGACACTGTAGACAAACTGCGCCTGATGGAAGGGAAGAAACCCAGCGTTCGCAAGTCTGTACACACTGCTTATGACCGGGCAATGGTGCATTTAAACCACGTGAGAGGAAATCTTAACTTCACTCCCTCCAATTTTATATAAATTTTAATTTAAAGATCTAATTTTAAACAACCTGACTGGTGATATGTAAAAATGTGAGAAAGTGTACACCATTTCCAAAAGGTAACGATATTTGATCCCTTTTTATTGCATAAAATAGTGAAGATTTTTGAAATTCAGAAAGAAATTGCTCAGAATTTTTCATAGATCAATTTAATTTATTCATGTACATTTTTTAAACAATGGGTTTTTACACAGCTGTTGCTATATGTTCATATGAAGTTTTTATCTTTGGCCAAAGTGAGTTTAGGCTCGTTTGAGAGAAGCATATTTGTTTATCTGTCAAAGGGATCGTTGTGATTCAGAATATATAGATTGTATTTGCTATTGAAATGTCACTGTGTTTAATAAAGTGTGAAAGTCCCACGTTAATGTTCACGTCATACCTGGACTCTGTGGTGGTCTCCCCAGAAACTGTCAAAGGTTTTATTTTAACCTCAGAATACATTTAATCTTCAATAAGCTGCACAAAATTCAGCTTTTTTTTGGCTGCAATTATTCTTCTACTGCAGGTACGGACATTAGATTCCCTATTTTGCCCTTACTAGAGCACAACTGACTCTTCACTGAACAATAACTCTCTGCTTATTAAGCACATTAAGAAGTGTGAAACCACAACTAAACTGATGTTTTATTTGCACGGTTGCCACTGCTAACATTGGAACTTTTAGTCCAGCTACGACGTGTTGTTGGTGGGACTTTTAACTGTGTTTGATGACTTTTTTCCATATTGTGAAACTGTTCTGCGATCCTAGAATGTTGAAGTGGCCGGTGCAGTTCCCTGGTCTTAAAGCCACTAACAAAGGTGAAGCAGATAAATCTGCTGTGATAACTTACTGAAGGCCTAGAATTTATTTGCAAATCTGGCTGAAAAGACTTGAAAAGCACAAATGCTCTGGTTTAAAATAAATAATTAAATCAAAACTTTTGAGATAGGAGTTTCCTGGGGCCATATGTGGCATACCTACTGTGTACAGCTTGTACATATATGTATACAAGCTCAGTGTGGTAAAAGTGCATGTGTATAGTTCTGTAAATATGTAAATGTATGTTTATATTTGCTTACATGAAGTAATTTAAGGAATGCAAAAATCAAATATAGATTTTAATTTATACATTTGTTGCAGTAGAGGTGTTATTTAAAAAGTAAAATATTGAACAGAAATATGTATGATCTAAGTAGCTCTTTGTAATAGTGAAATTTGCCAACATGTTGGTGGAAAATATTCTGTGAAAGTGAGGTGGCACAAGACCTTAACTCTAGGCAGCTGTGTTTGCGTTTGCCTACTTTTTTTCCTTTCTTGGTGGTACAGATTTTTGATCTTGTAATTTGAAATAGTTCTACAAGATCTAGTCTGCCTGAGACGATATTTTCTCACAGAAGAATAAATGCTGTTTGAAAAACCTGCTTGTGGCCTGTTTTTCATAAGAATTTGAAGCTGCTGGATCAGTTTCTGCCACATTTTACACAGTGTTTAAACCGAATTACATCATGGGATGCTACATGTGACCAAACCAAATAATAACAATAAACTTGTTTTATTATAAGCAAACTGTGAGGGGGGAACAGACTAAACTTTTAACTGACACTAAAATCACTAACTAGTTTAAGACGTATTTTATTGATGCAATAATTTTCATGTCTGCTTTAGCCTCTGACAAATGCTTCAAATGACAATGTCCAGATTTTAGTTTTTGTTGCCATGCTGTTGTTTAAAAGTCTATTAGCTCTGTTAGTAATAAAGGAAAAACAGAGTTCAGTATATTTACACAATTTAAAATTAGATTTGTGCAACCTGGACTTTATTTTAATGGTACTACAGACACGCTGTTAAGACTTGAATCAACAGAAAATTCTTCAGAAGACCCCACGAGGCTACCATTTATAGGTAATTCAAAAAAAACCTATCATTCAGAAACAGTAAAATACCTGAACTCCCCTCAATAAGGTGTGAGATGATCGACACGTCATGAGCTGTGACGACATTTTGTAGTATTACCGATGATCAAATTTGACTTCTTCCCTCAAAAACTTTAAACGGGACTCATTATGTATGGTGACCTTATTATCTGCAGAAAATGTAACATTTGCAACCTTCCTATCTGAGCTGAAATAAAAAACTATACATAAAATGATGCTTTCAAATTAATTTGCAAGGATGAACAATATATATTTTTAAATAAATATTCAACCCTCTGGCAGTTCTAGTTTTTTGTTATTCCAGTTTAGGATGACCTCAAATACAAAACACTATATGCAAATATCCCAGAACTTGGGATCCATTCTGAAAAGAAAAATGTAATTTAACTTTTTTTGTCTTCATTATACTCATTTCCACAAGAAATAGCTAATTTATACATGTATTATATTAATGAACTATCATCTGAGTGATACATTCACTGTCCAGGAGGAGAAACAAATCTCTCTTTGCTGTAGTAAAACATATAAAAACAATTAAATATTTGAATTAAGTTCTACCACAGCTCAACTTAAAATGCACTAATGCTGCTTCACCCTGACTTGTTTTGTATGAAAGCAGCGAAGCAACAACATGCTTTCATTTCACTCCTAAAGTAGTGTAAAATGTAGTGTTTAAATCTAGTAGTCAAGTCTGATCAATTTCACAACAAAGGTAGAAAAATATCTGTGAAGCAGTGTTCGGATTCTTCTTAAATGAGGCAGATGTACAGCAGCTCAAAGGAAGTCCTATAGAAGAGATAAATAGCCATTATCTGTGGAGTCTTGCTGCTCCGATTTGCTGCTTTTTGAACTCTTGCTGGGGTTTGGAGTAGTCGAATACTTGGGTGGGTATCTGATGAAGAGACGATCTTCCTCCTTTTTAATCCATCTAAGAAGCTTAGTGATGGCAGTAATGGCGCAGGTTTTTGTCACCAGAGGGCTGAAGCAGGTGTACAACTCAAATTTACTGGTCACCTAAAAGAAAAAAAAACACACAAAGATACAGGCTTAAAGAGAAAACAAAATAAAGCAATTGCTCAGAACCAAATGTTCAATCACTCTGCAGAGACGAGTGTTTGTGTTCATGATGGTGTGATGATTCAAAATCAAACAATGATACATGCCAAATCACTGTACGTTTAAAAGAATGACAAAGGCTAGATTTAAAAAATATGAAACCATATAATCTGTATCCATATAATTTGTTGTTCTAGAAAGATTTGATGTTTTTGTTTTGTTAACTGAAGATCATTATTGTTTGAATTTATACTTGAGGAAAAAGGGGCAGATGTAATGAGACTTTTTCTTCTCTGCCACCTTTCATTTCATTTTATTTGCATTTTCTTTGTTTTTATTGAACATAGAATTACTTTTGTTTTGTTAAGAAATGAATAAATTTTGAAATAAATAAATAAACAGTCTGAGAGTGGGCTCTGCTTTCCTATGTGTTATGCATGTATCAACCAGGGGCAGAGCCAGGGGGTGGCCATGGCCACCACAGACAAATCTTTGGCCACCCCATTGGCCACCCTGCTGTACACACCCCGACCACAGTGAAACAACATCTAGGGGTGTAATAATCCTCCTGAACAGTTGGTGGCAGTGTTTAATAGTTTGAAACATCACCAAGCTCTATCACTGAAGAAGAGTAATGACAAGGAGGTGATGGTTTTTTTTTTATATAAACATATGCCTATGTAATCTGACATGGTGACAACTTTTGGACTTACGGAGACAAATGGGTTTTTTTTTTGTTTTGTTTTTTTTGTCACCATAACACAGTATCATTTTATGTTATGAAGGCTGTGTGATGCTCTGTGTTTGGTTATGAGTAGACCTATCGCAAAATCAGAAATAGTGGAATACCCCCCTAAATTCACTATTGGTGGTTATCAATACTGCACCTATTCATTGGGTGAAATTATTAATATTAGTTTTAAACATGCAGTTGAGGGTCATCATTATTTAGTACAATGACGTGTTACAATTAAAAATAAATAAACAATATAAAAGTAAAAAGCACCCCTAAAGTCATTGGATATGATAAATTGTGTCACATTAATTAATCTTTTCTCAGCTGTAGCAGTAAGTTTAAAAACAGGATGATGGAACTAGTTTAATAAAGAATCTGTCTCTGAAATAATTATTAAATCAAGTGTTTATGTAGGTAAAATACACCAGAATGCAGGAAATAGCATCTATTTTGTTCAGAGTTTTCTGGGGGAGGACCCACAGACCCCCCCCAACAGTGTATCCCCCCACCTTTAAAATGGTTCTGATGCCCAAGTTTATAAGGTAGTCACTTTCTGTATAAGGACATAAGGAAATGACCAAAACACAAAGATGTGCAGAAACATTAAAGTAAAATTTTATGTAATTTTCCAGGCCACCCCTGAGAAAAATGTCTGGCTCCGCCACTGGTGTCAACACGATAAAGCTACATACCCACGCCAACAGAGTTTCCCTCTCAGCAACATGGTAGATTAGCTTCAGGGGTCGTGAGGTGCTGTGAATTCGGCTGTGCATGTAGCGGTAAAGATCCAAGAGTCGCATTTTCTCCTCTTCGCTGCTGTATGGAGCTTCCATCTCTGGACTATATACAGGTTAAATACACAGGGACAATCATGCAAAGTTGAAAAAACATTTTTGCATAAATATATACATAAACTCTACAATTAGAGTCCACCTACAATAACAACAACACACACCTGGTGAACTGAGTGAGCTGGCGGTAGTTGTCTGGAACGTCGAAGGGCTTGTACATGAAGTGCCTGAGGTCCGAGACGCCGACCTGGCTCACGCTGTACAGCTGAGCTTTGGCGATGAGGCTCAGCGAGTTCTGGGCCGCCATGGCCTCCTCGATCTTCCTCTTGCACTCGGCTACGGCGTAGAAAGCCTCCTTGTCGGTCGAGAGCAGCAGCAGACAGACGGTGCACTCTGGAGGATCCAGGTAAGAAATGTACGCATAAAAATAACAGTCGGGATTGAAGAGAGGGAGGCAGATGGGAGTCCAGATCTCCCCGGCCTGGAAGGCCGAGGAGGCTCCGATGAGGTTGAGCAGGAGGTGAACGTCTGCTGGTTCCAGCCTCGAGTCCTCGATGACGGTCTTCTCTTGGACGATGGTTAGCAGCTGGTTCTTGGCGATGAGGATGGAGAAAACCAGATTGGGCGTGATCGCTTTCTGTAGGACCTGGCTGAGGGAGTCCCTGAGAGAGGAAGCTAGAGGCAAGCAATGCACCGCTGCCAGCAGAAAGCTGGGGTCGGAATCCAGCAGGTCGAGGAGACCGTCCAGGATCTTCTCCGAGCCTGCCAGGAGTCTTCTCAGGTCGTAGTTTTTCTTGTGCTCGAAGATGCGGGATATGCTGGCCTGGGTGAGCATACTGATAATCTGATAATACACATAGAGGAGCTCTCCACGCAGCTGCTGCTCAGGCTGACGACTGCTGGAGACACACACCAACACCAGCGGCCCTTTCTGCAGGAACACCACAGTGTGCTCCTCTGATTGAAGGAAGACACAACACGACACAATCAGTTCAAAGCACGACACAAGACGAAACGACGAGGACTGAGACACATGACTCAAGAGTATCTGACGTCTGAAACTTGGAAATAAAAAATACGAAGGTCGTGGAAATACAGTGATTCATCGAGCTCGTGCTTTTTCACTCCTGCTCATCATAACCTTCCCGATCGATTATTTCTTCAGTTACTTATTATAAACTTAAAAAAAAAAACAAATCATCACCAAAGGCATGAAGCAAAAGATAAAACATTAAAATGCACCATAAAAAAGGTTTGGAGACTTGAAAATTTTTTAACTTGAATAACTTTTACTTTTATTATTTTGTTTTCTTTTTTCCAACATGTATCTAAGGCTTGTTTACAGCTTCAGGAGAAACCATGAGAATGCTAACTTTACTTTTTCACTTCCCAAATTTTGTTCCCAACCAGCTGTCAAGGCCTCTGGTCTACAAACTCTCAACTCTAAAAATTTGATCTGGGCTTAATTCATGTCTTTAATATCAAACTGGGACTTCCCTGTAAAAGTGTCAGCTCAGAGAACTGAAACAATAACACTGCCGTCTATTTTGAACGATTACAGATAAAATGTGTTCGGTTGCATCATGACTGTCATTCACTGTGCTCACCTGAATACACTGAGCGGATGACGTTATCTCCGCTTTGGACAAACGACACCAGAGCCATCATGACTCCCATTGTAGATGAAAGAGCCTCCTCGCTGCCGTATCGAGAATAAATGGGCTTGCCGGCTTCACTCAGCACAAAAATGTGCTTCCTGTGCTGCCGCCAGCTGTCGGCTGTAACGTCCTCATCACGATGAGACTTGAATGAAGGGGAGTCTTCGATTCCAGCTTCCAACAAAGGAGATGATCGCCCCTTCACACCTATACCTTGTTCCTCCAACTTTGCCTTGGCCAGCATTGTAACAACAAAATCCCCAGAGTCGCTCTGGTCATTGTCGACAGCATCGCTCTCAGCGTCTCTGTCGACCGGGTGGCTGGACACGTCCCTCTGACACTCCGAGTCTCTTGTCTCCTCAGTCTCTAACTTTGTCTCAAGATGAGAACGGTCTTCATCTCGACCTGGGTCCTCTGCTGTGACATCTGACAGGTGCAAATGTGTGGTTTGGTTTCTGTCCGCTGTAGAACAGTTGCTTTTCCCCTCTATATCAGGAAGCAGGTGATTCCCCAACAGGGCATCAGCTAAAAGGAAAACAAATCTAAATGAGTAAAAATGCAAATTATACATACAGAACAGACGTTTTAATAAGATTATAAAATAAATCTAGACACTCAACAGTTTAATTCATGTGTTTACAAAATTGAATTAATGAAAAAAAGCAGATTAAAAGAATGAGGCTTCAGCTTTTATATGAGGGTATTCATATCTCAAAACAACGTAGGGTTTGGAAAAATAGATAGGTTTAACATAAATGTAAATAATGGGTGTTTTACAATCCTTTCTCAACAATCCTTCACAGATTCTTACTGATATAATTACTTCTTTTGAAACATTTACCCGAGCTTTACTGTAGCTGTATTAACTGTTTATAAGCTTTGATTTGTACTTCAGCAAAATTAATATATTTCAATGATTCAGTATATTGTTATCTTTCAGGTTCTGTGTTACTTATGCTGATTGTTTTGGATTTTTGCCCATCCGATAATGATGACGACATCTAACTCACTTTGCTGCACTGTTCAAATTCTGAGGAAACTGTACATTTTGTGATGAGTCTGAGCAGAGCTCATCGAAGTAAGCAGAACCTGATGATGTTTTACATGACCTTTAAGAATACACAAACACTTGATGGTATACTCAAGATTGTTGTTTTTTTTTTGTTTTGTTTTAACCTGTGATTTGAATATGTTTAATTTATGTACCAAAAACTGGAACAGCGTAAAGTAAAATACTCTGAATTCATGTATATTTACCAGTTGGATCACTCTCTGAGTTAAMAGAAATCTTAACTCCTTCTGCTGCTCCATTTTGATGATCGTCTCCCTCCATGATACCATCCCAGTCTCTAAAAATAGAAAAACTGATTTATAATAATTGCATATTAACCAGAAGACATGAGCACCTAATTTCTTAAGTTATGAATAGAAGCATTCATGCAGGCGTAGTGATCAAGTCACATGTTAACAGAAGGCAGTAACTGCTTCAAGACACTAAACAGACACTAGAAATTAAATCTGATTACAGCTTCAAACAGGCGGTTTAATGCCAGCAGCAGATCCATTGGACGGAGAGCCGATGAGCTAACGTTTGTAATCATAAGTTCATCAAATAATAAAAGAACTAGCATGCCTGTTAACCTCGACACAACAAATACAACTAATATTTTCATGGTGATGAACGTGGGACAGTGAATTCCGACACAACTCGGAAAATGAAGACTGTAGTAAACACGGCTAACACTTCCTGCTAGCATCAGGCGAAACACACACACAGATGATTTATCCCGGCCTCGGCTTAACATTAAGAGGCAATGGCAGTCTTCAAAATAAAAAAGACGAAGAATAAAACTTACGGAGATGTGATGTCGAAACGCCGTCTTTGATATCTAATTTGCGTCTTTAACTTTTCTCTACAGCACAGCGGCAGGTGAGCTGTCAAGAATGAGAGGCAGAAAACAAATCCTCCTCTTGCAACAGAAGACTTCCGGAAAATCTGACGACACAGTCTTCTGGCCAATCAGAACGCAGGTCGGTATTTTGTGGTCCGCCCCTTTATCAAATGTTTACTTGCAGGCTGTAACATAAAAAAATAAGTGTACAAGCAAAGAAATGCAAGATTTTATCGTTTTAACTAACTTAAAAAATACTAAATATTAGATAAATCAACAAAAATAAAATTCATTGAGTTTTAAACAGACGTCTGAACCTTGCACACGTACGCTACGTAGTGACGCCATTTCCGAGTTCTCGCTGCACAGTGCTCACTGAAAATGAGGTATTTTTTATGTCCTGACAAGGCATAAAAGAAAAAAAAACAAATCTGATGGCTATAGGTGACTCAAAAGACACACAGTGGATTCTTGTTTGGTAATAACCCACATCATGGAGGAGCCGTGGGATTTTGAGTTTTTGTCTCGCGTGGCTGACAGCTGCCTGTCGTTCCTGTACGAGTTTGTGGATGATTGGCTCGCCAACGACATGAGGGTCTCTATATTCAAAATCTTACTCAGCTGGTTAATTTTTAGCCTCGTCGCCATTCACTTTGCGTGGAAAGTCTACGGGAACACGGTGAATGACATGTATTACCGACAAGGTGGGTCTTCCTTCCGTCAGGGACGCATTAGCTCGGTAAGTTGATGCTAATTAAGTTAGCTTAATCTCTTGTTTGTTGACGTTTAGGGACTGGGCAGAATGGAGGTACACCTGACGCTGCTCCTCACCTGAGTGGCTGGTATGTGTTCAGTTTCGGGGGTCATGTTTCCCCTTTCTATCTTGGTTTGACGCTTAACACCGCCGTGTCCGTGTGCTTGCTCTTTCTCATTGTTGTGTTTACGTGTTGTCATTGTTTTGTAGGGAGAATAAATCAGGAGACAATCTGAAGAGCCATCGGGAGTAACACAACAACATATATTTGGACCAGAGATCTTAAGACACGCTGACGTTGACATGGCTGATATCAAACTCATTTTATTTAAGAAGGTATGAAGATGAGTGGTTTTATCTTCTGACAGTTTCCCGTTGAAATATTGAGTTTTTTCCTGCATATCAGTGATCTTGCTGTGTTTTTGAGATATTTATTTTGGCCTGTTGGCACTGGAATCTAAATAGAACATTTTCTTCTATGTGAAAGACAAAAAAAAGAAAAACAACCTTAATGGACCACTTTTTTTATCGTATGCCAGTGGTGTTGATGTCACATAGTCATTTTTTAAAATAGMTATAATTCTTGTAGCAGATACAAACATTTCTGTTCCAACCGCATAAACGAAAAGTTACATCATTAAATTTATACAATGCGTAAGACATAATTTATTAAACTATACTTTTAAAACCGGGAAACAAAAATCTGTAACTGAATAGCATTACCAGGAGTGAATGAAGTGGTTTAAAGTGCCTGCTGTGATTGTTAATAGGACGCATTGTTTTCTGCAGTGGAGTCATTTTTTTATTTCTTATTCATAAATAAAGAGGACCAATGGAGAAAAGAAATGTGAAACACATTTATTGTCTTTATTTTCAATAAACATATCTGTCATATACCTGAAGCATGCTTTCAGTAGCAAAAAGGGTTCAGAAAAGATTCATCCTCTTAATATATATAGCATGAAAATACTTGCTGTGAAAAGTACAAATAAATATGACAACCATATTTACTAGATGTGGAGTCCACAAGTCGAAGGGCAATACACTGCATTGATTAAAATCTTGGCAAACAACACTATTAGGATATTTGCGATTCTAGGTAAGACTGCTGCAAAAATGAAGTTATTACCATGTTCATTAATATTATTTTGGCTAGTAGTAGAAAAATAGACATCTGACTTTTACCACTATCAATATCTGATCAAGCCTGCCATGAACCACGATTTTAAAAATGGATGCCCTAAAAAATCCAAAGTGGATTTTTCTTAGCATTTAGTTCAGTCCTCATAAACTAAACTAATAAACCTAACAAGATCGCTGTAATGTTCGGATAACTCTGACATATAATTGTTGGTAACTCTGCATACTTTGGTGAGATTTTCATTTTAAATGTAAGCTCTAGTTAGAATTAAAAGTAGCAAAACTACAGATCCAAAATGTTGGTGGTCAATTGAACTCAGATTACCTCAAATTTAGGTTTAATGTTTTTTCTTTTTGTTTTTCCACTCATTTTTATGGCCTTGTGCTTGTGAATTAGCTAATTGTAATGGGAATTGATGGAATTATTAGCATATGCACGTCCATGACATTCGTGCAGGTGAGGCCAGGGACTAGTAAACGCTGTCCAGCTAAGAGATGAGAAAAAAATGTAAAAGAATCATTGTTACTGAGGATGTTATCAATGTCCAACCCCTGTGCTTGGGCTTCATCATACAGTCCTCCATCAGTGATGGCCCCCGCTGCCTCGGTGGGTCCATCCTGACCATCAGTGCCACCGCTCAGAAACAAAGGACCCTTAGGTGGGAGCTCCAGGCCTTTCAACTCTAGTCCCACTCGTAGAGCCAGCTCCTGGTTTCGACCACCTCGACCTTTGCCTGTCAGTTCCACGGTGGGCTCCCCACCGGCTAACAAACACGTGGCCCCCCATCCCTCTTTACGCCCCTCATCTAATACATGCATAGTACGACACAGATCCCAGGTCTCCATCCCTATGCTCGGCCCGAGCCTGAGCACCTCAGCTGCGATCTCTGGAGGAGGTTCCTCTCGAGAACAGGCAAAACGAGCCAGAAGGCCATAAACTTTGGAGACAGACCTCACGTCGCCACACACTCCTGGTGAAAGGACAACAGGACGGAAACCCAGCTCTCGTGCACGGCGACCTGCGTGCTTGAGGGCAACGGTGTTGGAGCCAATCACGACATTCAGAACATCGCCCGACGCATCATATTCGTCCTTACTCTCTTTCCACTGGGGACCCTGTCTCGCAAGGACATCCTTCACTGATTTTGGTAGGGAGTCCCGCAGCTTGTAATGTTCAAGAATGGACAAGATTTCTTCGGGCCACACTTCACTTCTCACTGTGGGGCCACTGGCGATCAAATCGAGTGGGTCCCCGATCACGTCAGACAGTATTAGTGCAACCACCTGTGAAGAAGTGGAAGTCAAAAACGTCGTCCGTGCAATAAGTGACTGTTTTAAGACTTGTTACCTGTGCGGGGTGAGCGTAATGTGCAAGCCCTCCGCCCTTCAACAAAGAAAGGGATCGACGCACTTTGTTCAGCTCTTGAATGGTGGCACCTGCCGCTGCAAGTCTGCGAGTAACATCAAATTTTTCTTGCAATGAAATCGGAGGTATAGGTGCTGGTAATAAAGCAGAGCCTCCACCTAGGAGAAGGTAAACCAGATGTTATGGATTACATTATTATAGCTGATGGATGGGGGGGAAGTAAGAAGTAATCATACCTGAAATGAGTACGAGCAGCAAATCTTTTTCTGTCAGCTCACTGGCTAACTGTTTGATGCCTTCGGCCGCTCTCTGAGCATCTTCATCGGGTAAGTTATGCTTAGCCCCCTCCAATACTTTGATTCGACTGTTTTCTTTCAGTAAGAGGTGGCTAGAACAGAGGTAAAAAACTTTACTCATTCTTAAACTTACATATGGTGTACAATTTTGTTACACCTTCTGACATTTTCTTACTCTTTTCCATGCTGCTGTAATGTCTGCTGAATCCCGCGTGGTACACTTATGACCCCTCTCACTAAGTGATCGCCCATGATCCTCTCTACCTCAGCAGCCATGCCCAGGACGGCCTTCCCGAAGCCCACCACGTGCAGGTTGTGTTTGAGCACAAATCGGTGACCATCAATGAGGACTGAATCCTCCTGGCGCTCTACACTCTGTCTGACCACTGTGTCTGGCTGCACCGTTTCCACGGCAGCTGCGAAAACTTCCCGCGCTCGTGAGTCCATTGACATTTTGCAGAATGCAGGTTTCCACCTGCCCATGAGGGCCTGAATAGGCTGAGGCCGGAACAGGGAAAGGACACGGGCCATTGACTGATCAATGGGTCTGAAAGGTTTAAAAATTAGCGCTAAGACAAAGAATTACATTAAATACTATGGACTTTGAAAGCTCCATAAAACCTATGTTGCACAAAGTGTGAATGCTAATTTCCATGCATACTGTTCCTACTAGTTTGCTTTAAAAGTTAAAAATCAACTTGTACCTACTTTGATTTTATATTCAACTTTTATTTTCAACTTTATTACTATAACTTAAAGTCAGCTACCATGTTTCCTATTTGAGCTCCCTGACKTTTCATGAAACTGCCTACCTGCGTGGGTTGTCAGTGGTGTTTTAAAGCCTGCAGATTCCTGGCAAGGAAGTTGTTTGTGTTCCAGCGTTACAGTGAAACCAAATTCTGCCTAGACCAGACACTGATTAGTGATGTTTGTACTGTGTTTAATGATTACCTTTAAAGATCCACAGATCATGAGAATGTGCTTTTCATCCACTTGTGCATTTATCCATTTTACTTGTACAAGGGTTAAAATGATTTTAGCACAGTATCTGACAAAGCTGATACATTTTGTTTGAAGTTTGTAAAAAATTCAATTGTGCTTTATGCAAATTGTGCGTCGTATTTGTTTTGATTGTTCATTTGTAGGGTAATAAAACTCCAATTGTTGGAGATTGTATTGTATTGGTGGGTAAAATAGAAGAGATTTATCATTCAAAAAAGAATAGAGTAAAATATTGTAATATCTTATTATATTTTGGTCATGTCCATGGTTACAAAACAATAACATAGTTGGATTTTTTTATTTACAATTTGTAATAATTCTCTGAGTAAGTTTTTTGTTATGATGCTATATTGCATAATAATATATTCATTTGGCTGTCTTTGAGAAGTATATCAGTAGTTGATTTGAATTTAATCTTTGATTTATTATTGTGGATTTAGCGTCACAAATGATAAAATTAATTGATTTGTTTTCATCTCACAGGCTGACATTCATAAAAAGGCAAGGCCTCCAAACAGGACAATAAAATGTTCTTTCTTACCCCAGATTTTTTCTTCTGTGGGGTCAAAAGTCCTAACTTTCTTCGTGACCTCTCGTGCTCCAAGGCTTTAAAAACAAAAGTTAAGTCTTCAGTGTAAACAAATAACTAATGGAAAATTTTCTTTTTCGTGTGAAAATAAATCAAATAATTAGTAATACAGCCAGTGTTTCGTTGTTGTCAGATCCCTGTAGAGAGAAGGTAAATATAGGGCTCTGGTTGTTGTCGTTTTAGTTCCATTGAACTGTCGCGAGAATTTGAAGTGCCCTCACGTGATTTTTGTTCATTGCGCGTGTCCGGTTACGACATGCGCGTCACCGACGTGGCGAAAAAAAGCGGAGTTTTTTTTTTTTTCTTCCTTCCTCATTGATAGAACAAATCTACCACAAGCGGGATTTTGTAATAATCGTTTATAGTAATATTTTATAATAACCGTTGCGCATTTATCTAAACGAATTATCTATACGTGTAATTTGCAAGTTGATACAATAAGACAAAACGAGGGCGTTTTTCCCCCACAGACACAGGCCACCATGAAGCTAACGGACAATGTGCTGCGGAGCTTCAGGGTTGCTAAAGTGTTTCGAGAGAACTCAGACAAAATAAACTGCTTCGATTTCAGTTCAAACGGAGAAACCATAATTTCCAGCAGCGACGACGACTCTTTAGTTTTGTACGACTGCCAGGAGGGAAAGTAAGAGCGATTTGTGGAGAGTTTGCACTTTTGTTTTTGATGTTAGCACCTTTATGCTAGCTCCCGAGGCCTGTCGCACTGCGCTATGCAGTAAAAATACATCTGTGCTTAGTTATAGTTTGAAATTTGCTGCTAAAATAAACTTGTAGTTTTTTTGTATTTCATTTTATGTACTAGTAAATAAAACCACACGACTTCAACGTATTTAAACTTTTTTCTGAAACAAATGAAAAGCGTTTATGTGAAATGTGAAGGGAAAAGAATGAATGGGATTTTCACTAGCTTGTAGCTAAACAAGTCTTCCGGCGTAAATGCTAACATTTTAAACAAGTATAATGTCACAACAAAGCCAGAATGATTCTAATGTGACATTTTTATTGAGATGTAGTTAAAACAATGTAGTTTAGTAGTGGAATTAAAATAAAACAATGATCACTGTTGTCTTTGGTTATTTACATCAGACCCAAGAGGACTCTCTACAGTAAGAAGTATGGAGTGGACCTGATCAGATACACACATGCTGCCAACACTGTGGTCTACAGCTCCAACAAAATTGATGGTATGTGTAAAGTTGACTTTTGAGTGTTGTCAGCCAAATGAATTTCAGACCTTATTGTGACCTACCTACCAGATCTGGTTTTTCAGCATTAAACGTGTTACTGTTGGCTGAGCTGCTGTAGACTGGATGCCGTACACCCGGAGACAGCTGCTGCGCCACTCGTCACCTTGCTCGCTGTAGTCTGAGGTAGTTGTTTGTACAGTTTGAGGGTCTGTGATTCTGCCTCATACAGGAGCTAACTGTACAAGTGACTGCCTTGCCCACGGTTGAGTCTACTCATCAGACGTCGGCGTGTTGATGCAGGCCTTTTTTCGTTGCTGATGTCAGTTATGTGTATTTCCTGCCACAGCTTATGTTTGACATTTGTTTAATGGCGCCTCTATTTTCCCTCTAAGATACCATCAGGTACCTGTCGCTTCATGACAACAAATACATCCGATATTTTCCTGGACACAACAAAAGGTGCGGGCTGAATAAATGTTTCTGTGAACGTTGCATTGATTGCGTCATGTTTAAAGTTGCTTCTTTCTAATGGGCGTTTGTGTTTGTCGTGAACAGAGTGACATCTTTGTCCATGTCTCCTGTGGATGACACATTTATTTCTGGCTCATTAGATAAAACCATCAGACTGTGGGATCTGCGGTCACCTAACTGTCAGGTCAGTACCTAATTTTAACCTGTTCGTCAGAAGTATTACTCCAAATTGTTTACAGTGTCTATAAAACTTCCATTTGTTTTTATTTTGGTGAGCCGCTTTTAGCCACAGTGTGTACTTTATGCTCAATAATCAGAAAACACGTGATAGACTTTCCATTTGTCCACTTTAGGGTTTGATGCATCTGCAAGGGAAGCCGGTGTGCTCCTTTGATCCGGAGGGTCTCATTTTTGCTGCTGGAATAAACTCGGAGATGGTTAAACTGTATGATCTGCGATCGTTTGACAAGGTATAATAAGAGCTGTTTTTGTGTTTGTACGCTAGAACGGTTGGGATGCTTATTCTGCAAATTCAAAAGAATAAACTGAGCCTTCTTATCAACAGGGTCCTTTTGCAACTTTCAAGCTTCAGTATGATCGAACCTGTGAGTGGACGGGACTCAAGTTTAGCAATGATGGAAAACTCATTCTTCTTTCTACAAATGGCGGAGCCCTTCGCATCTTAGATGCTTTTAAGGGTGTTGTGCTACATTCCTTCGGGGTAAGAGACGAGGTGGTATCTCAGATTGTGGATACAATGTAATAAAACATGGATTCCCCTAGGATTTTTTTAAACTGTGGCRTCCTCTCATGCGGGGGTGTAACAGGACAACCTGTTGACAAAATCTGATAGTCCACAAAATGATTTGGTTGTCAAAAATATCTTAATAAAATTGTAGTTTCATATTGTTCTATATACAAAGTTTATATATACAAATGTTCTCAGTCAGCAGGTTGACAGTTTCAGGAGCTGCCTGAGTAAAATGTCCTCYTCCTCCTCTTTGAAATAGAGACCAAAAATCAACATCCATAAGCTTTCTGCTTACAGGTCAAACATTTTCATTTAAAGAGGAGTAAACTGTGTATATGACCTTATTAAAGTTACAGTTTAGTGTTCTTAGGGCTGAAGACTTTGAGGAAAGAGGTTTTTAAACAGCTCTTCTATCATTTTAGTGTATGTATTATGTATGTATATACACTGCTCAAAAAAATAAAGGGAACACTACTGCTCAAAAAATTAAATGGAACACTTAAACAACGCACGCTAAGTCCAAGTAAATTAAACTTTTGAGAAGCACATTCAACTC